TGAAACAACATATGAGCAAGAGCCTATGGTGATGAAAGAAGAAGTTCAGGCTGCTTTGAAGGACATGGCCAAAAATAAGGCTCCAGGAATAGATATAGGAAGAGAATCTAGTGGATTTAAACCACATACCTCTGAGATTGCAGTGTAGCTTCCTGCCACCAGGCCACCAGAGCTCACCAGCTTTAACCATTTCTACTACCTCTACCTTAACCTAAGCAGTTACCCTCTGCCTAGACTATTGAAATAGTCTCCTTCCTCTCTCCCCATTTCCATTTCCACTCCTCCCTATCATTCTACCCCAACTATTTATTCTGCACAGAGAACTGAGAAAAATCTTTTAACATATCATTAAGTGAAATACTATATGGTTTTATTTCAAAATAATCTGGGAAGTAGGATGCTGGATGAGCATTTATATATATTATATTTCTATATATCTATAAATGAAAAGATTTATATATGTTGTTGTTGTTGTGTACCAACCAATTCACAGCTGACCCTCCAGTGGGTTTTCAGAAGCATTAACTCGCAGGGTGCTTGACTTCCTCTCCTCCTACCAAACAGCTGGTGGATTTAAACTGCATTCTTTTGGGTTGACAGGGCAGTTCCCTGCAATCCTGAAGGCACAAAGTTTAAATCCAGCAACTGCTCCACAGGAGAAGGATGGGCAATTTCCTCTTGTCTGATTTACTGCCTCTGATAACAAGCCAGAGTGTCAGTTATGGGTTAGTTCCAACTCAGTGGTACTCAACAATAACAACAGGCCACCAGAGGTCCCTAACATTTATTTCCTTTGTGGGTTGTTGGTTTTGTTTGATGATTTATTTCATCTTGGAGAGGATTAAACCAAGCTACTCCTTGGAGGCAAGGATTCTGGGGCTTCATCTGACATACTTTGGACATGTTGCCAGGAGGGACGGGTCCTTGGAGAGGGACATCATGCTTGGGAGGGTGGAGGGACAGCGCAGGAGGGGAAGACCCTCTATGAGATGGATCGATTCAGTGACTGGGGTAATCGGGATGGGTGTGTCAGAGGCAATGCGGTTGGCGCAGGATAGAGCAGGGTTTAAGGCTGTTGTGCATAGGGTCGCTATGAGTCGGAAACGACTCGATGGCACATAACAACAACAACAACAACATATAAAAATTATATATATAAATTATATATATATAATATATAAATTACATATATATAAAATATATAAATTACATATCTATCTAGATATAGATATAGATATAGATAGAGATAGAGATAGAGATAGATATATAGATATACACATACATATATACTTTTTAGAATTCAGTAGTCCAGGCTTTTCTTTTTTTCCCCAAGAACAGTTTTGAAGGAGCCCTGGGGAGATACTGGGTCATTCTGTCCTTTGGTATTACTATGAAGTTGTATTCTATTTGATGGCAATGGATTATGTCCTTTGTTTTTAAACACTGCAGGCTGGAGGGGCTGGGAAGAACGTGGCCACCAGTTTGACCCCTGTCCTGGCCTCAGAGCTCAGAGGCGGTAGCATCCATGATCAAAAAGATGGTGAAATTAAGCTGGGGTGGGGGGGTGGTGATGGAAGGGATGATTTGGTCCATTATACTCTTTACTTTTTTACTTATTTAGAATTTTTCATAAAAAATTGTGTGTGTGGGGGGGAATCACTTCCTTGCTTAAAACCTTCCAATGATTTCTACGGTTCTTAGGATAAAACCCAAACTCTTTTTGATGGCCTCCTGTTCTAGTCTAAAGTTCTAGGAGAAATACAAAGCCAAAGGTGGGGGATTTTAATCTGCGGCCCTCAGGGCTGGTTTTGCTTTTGGTCAAACATTCTTCTAAGTGGTATAGCACTGGCTATACAGAGGTGATTTGTGGTTGCTGTGATGCTAAACACTGTGACACTGATGTGTGAAATGTGATAATGGTTACCCTTGGAAGACAGTGTTTGGTGGAGCTCCCAGATTAAAACAGGTTTGGAAGCAGGAGTGGCATCCACTTCTGAAATAGCTGCGTGTGGAGTCTCTGTGACTCTAGAGAAACGATGAAAGTTATACAAGTGTTCAGGTCTTTCTTTCATAGGGTTGCTATGAGTCATCTACGACTTAATGACACTTAACAACAAGAAGAAGAAGGTTATATTATAGGATCTGGCCTTTTATACTTCCCTGACTATAGTTTTCCCTTGATCCATTATATTGGCCTGTTTCCTTTTTCCAAGAACTAACCAAGCTTGTTTTCTTCTTAATGTTTTGTTGGTTTGTTTTTTTTTTTTTTACTTGGAGTTAGGTGTGTTGGAGACAATGAGACTAGTTCAGGATTTCAGAGCTATTGTGCATAGGGTCTTTATGAGTTGCAGGCAATTGACAGCACATAACAACATTCCTTTTTATTGCTTCAAGTCCTTATGTTCTTTCTTATTTTTAAGTCTCAAACTCACTATCTCAGAAGTCTTCACAATCAGCTTATCTAATCTTGAGTCCTACTCAGCACTTCCTCTGATTTTCTTCTGGTCTCCCTTCTTTTTTTCTTTTTCTTCTTTTTTTTTTAATTATTATTAAATTTTATTCGTTTTAATGAACATTTACAGAGATTTTGGGTTCTCATTCATTCATTGTTGCACTCTGGTCTCCCTTCTTTACTGATGTCTAGCTATAGTAGGAGTCTGGGAGAGGAAAACACTATATTGCAATTCTGTTTTATTTTCTCCATAATATTTAATCACTAGTTGAAATTATATTTGTTTATACAGCTTGTCTTCTCTCTTTAAATGTAAGCTGTATGAGAGCAGGCCCTGTCTTGCATTTTCAGTGCCTAGAAAATGGTTATGTTTAAATGATATGCTGAATCAAATATTTCATCAATCCCCTGAGACAAGCCAGTGAGCTTCCTAATTCTTTATTTCCTACTTCTATCAGGGCAGGACTCAAAGATGCAATCCTTCTTTCACCATGATTCCATCCTTTCTTTTGTGTAAAGTGGACTCACTTGGCAAAGGGGATGAAGTTGTTTCCATCTTCCTGTTCCTGCATGACTGGACTGGACTGAGTAGTAGGCTGGACTGAGTCTCCTTTGTGGCCTCTGGGAGGATAACAGAAAATGAATCATTTGCTCATGCTATAGTTTAGGAAGATCAATAGCAGATTTAGAGACTGTGCAAGAGGTGTATGGATTCTCCAAAAGAAAAGAGAGCTTAAAACGAGTGCTGGGCTAGTTTCAGAGTGAAGATAGTGAGCACAGGAAAGCTGAATAAGGTAAAAGAGAAAGTAAGTTTTTGAAGTCAAATGTGTACATTAAGTGAAAAATATTTAAGTGACCAAAATGGCAATATAGGGTGATGAAATGAGAAAGGATAACAGGTTAATATTGAATGGAGCAGGAAAATTTGAGGGTAGTTGTGTAAAATTGGTGGTTAGGGGCAGGTTAGAGAAGTAGAGAATTGAAGATTCATAAATAAATCAGGTATGAGTGATTAGAGATGAGGAGAGGGAAGAAAACACAGCTGATAACGTTGACAAGTAAAGAAAGGTGAGTAGACATTAGCAAAGAGTTGGAAACAACCCAAGTGCCCATAAAGAAATGAATGGATAGAGCAGCTCTGGTATATTCACACAATGGGATACTATGCTTCATTGAAAAACGAAGAACTCATGGAATATTACACAAAATCGGTGATCCTGGAGGACATTATGCTGAGTGAAATATCTGTCACAAAGGGACATACACTGTATAGTGCCACTGTTATAAAACAGGACTGACGTCGGGGTTGGGAGAGACTGAGAAAGAGGGGATAAATAATGTATATTGCATTGAAACAGATGAGGGAAAGAACTGTTTAAAAGGGATATGTGATTAGGTATTATTGTCATGACAGGAGTCCAGAATGAAGGCTGCATAGTGGAGTGATCTTGGGGGGAGTGATTGTATAACAATGAAGGAATTTTTCTTTTACTTTTCAAAGAGAAGAGCGAATGGGGGGAGGGGTGGGCAGGGAGAAAAGTGCAACAGTGAATGAATGGAATTCCAAAGTCTCTGTAAACTTTCATTAAAATTAATTAAAAAAGAAAGAAAGGTGAGTAGAGGAGTCAGTTTCTTGGATCTAGAATTAGGGGCAACCAAGAAACTCTGATGGTATTCTTTAGAGTGTTGTTCTGCCAACTAAAAGGTTGCATCTTTGGTGGTTCAAATTCTACCAGCTGCTCTATGGAAGAAAGATGGGAAATCTTTCTTCAGATGTGATTCACAGCCTTGAAAATCTGGTGGAGGGTCTTTAAGTTGGCACAGGCTCGAGGGCAGTTAGTCTTTGCTTTTTATAAGGATCACCTGGTATTGTGGTGTATTCTCTGTTGGGCTGTTAACTGAAAGTTTGGTGGGTTGAATCTACCAGTTGCTCTGCGAGAGAAAGATTAAGCAGTCTCCTCCCATAAAGTTTTATTACTTCACTAACCTAAAAGAGGGCTATGATGAGTTGGAATTGACTCAAAAACAGTGTGGGCAAGGATCACCTCAGAGTCCAGTGAGGTGGGCAGAAAAGAAAAATAGTTAGGAGAGTGCATTTAGGTAATATACAGGACAGAAAAGCCAATTAGAAACTTGACAAAGATGAAAAAGTATATTCAAGGCCAACTAGGTATGGGCTAAGAAAGTAGTTATGTGAGGTAAAAAATGAAGAGGATAGAATTTATGGCTAATGTGGCAGATAGGGATATTTAAGGGTTGGACTTAAGAGGGCAAAAAGTCAAATGTCATTGCTGTGGATGCAGAACAGATCCTTCAGCGAGTTTTTGGAGGTTGTAAAATCTTTACAGAAGTAGACTGCCCATCCTTCTTCTGAATAGCCATTGCTGGATTTGAACCAGCAGACAGGCACTATCTTTGGGTTAACCTTATAGCTCCCTACCAAGATTAGGCCAGCTATAGGGTAGATGGGGTCTAAATAGGATATTCTGTGTCAAAGGGGGGGTGAGTAGAACCAGGATCCAGTGGGAGCTGAAGTGTATCCAGACCACAGGTGTTCACTGCCAGTGACAGGTTTCAACTCATAGCCACCTTTCTTGCCAGAATACAATGTCCTCTTGGGTCTCCAAGGCTGCACATCCTCATAGGAGCAGATTGCTCTTTCTCCCATTTAAAAAACAGTGGATTAACTCAGGCACAAATGGAGACTTGTGCACCAATGTTCATAGCAACGTTATTCACTATTGCAAGAACATGGACACAGCCCAGATGTCCAAATAAAATCGAATGGATTGAGAAATTATGGTACATTCATATGATGGGATACTATGCAGCATGCAGAAGCAATGATTTTGTGAATTATTATCTAACTTGGGAGGGACTGGAGAGCATTATTCTAAGTGAACTCAGTCCCATAAGGACAAATATTGTGTAAAACCATTCTTATAAAACGAGTATGAAGATCCAAGGTGGGGCAGAGGAGGAGCAGAGGTGTGAGTATAAGGGGGATGTTAATCATAGGGATGCACAATTTGATGGATGGGGTGAAGGAAATGAGAAAGATCTGGCGTCAAAAATATATAAACTTTGTAAATAAACCAATATAAAATAAGAATGAAAATAAACCCAGGAACAGTGGGTTAGCAATGTCAACCTTGTGATCAGCAGACCTATTAACTTTGAGTTGAGCTGAATGGCCCCCACTCACAGGGACCCTACCAATTCCTGGAAGGAGGCCGTCCTGACCCTGTGCCACCCCTGTCCTCTCTCTAGTCGCTGTGTCCATACCTCCCACACCCTTGCTGAGCCTCTACCCTCCCAAGCATGATGTCCTTCTTCAGAGACTGGATCCTTCTGACGACATGCCAAAGCAGGTGGACAAAGTCCCACCTTCCTTGCTTCTAGGAAGGACTTCAGCTGAACCTTAGACAATTCGTCCCAGCCTGTTGGCCCTAAATGGATGACCAAGCTTTAGAGGTCAAGAAGGGCCTCAGAAGTAGCCTGGCCAGTGGACCTGAAGGCCTGTGGGATGACACCAGGATCTGGACTCCAGGATCTGGGGTAGCCCTGTCCTGACCGGAAGTACTAGGCGGCGCGAGCCTTGGGCGGGGCAGCGACCCAGACAGAAGTGGTGGGCCCCGGCGGGGCTCTGGCCTGAGAGGGTCGCCCAGATCTGAGGCGGCACCTAGGCCTAGAGGGAGTTGCTTCGGTTTGAGGAGACCGCCGGGGCCTGCTCGGACAGACGGGTTGGCGGGGCAGGTGGGGACAGGGCGCCGGGGCGGCAGCAATGCCGTCGTCGCCTGCTCTTGGCCACAGCACCTGAGGTAGTTCAGCGGCGAGTTCTAGAACAACCGGCCCAGCAGGGAGGAGACTCCGGGACGCCAGCGGAGGGCGGGGCGGATCCACGGCGCCGGGGGCGGGGCCTGGATGAGCCCACCTCCAGGGCGGGCCCGACCGACGGGAGGCCCCGCCCCCGCGCTCCAGCCTGGGGCCTAAGTCTCCCACAAATATGTACCCCCTGTCTTTCCCGAATCCTCGTGCACTGCCTGTCCTCCCCAGTCCTGGCGTCCTACTGGCCCTTTTGCCTCCACAATGGGGTTCTTCCGTTCCCCTCCAGTGGGTCCTGCTGTCCGGGGAGCATTGCCCCTTTAACAAGAGGAGTCTAGTGGCTCCCCATTCGTCCCGCCCCC